AATAAAAGTAAGTGTCATGTAATTGTGCATGCCTTTTTCAGTTTGTGTGTATTAAAATTAACATTTCATGTGGTAAAAAAAATTTTTTTTCATACTTTTGGGCGTCTTGCACGGATTAATTTTATTTCCATTATTTCTTATGGGGAAAATTCATTCGCATAACGATTATTTCGCATAACGATGAGCCCTCTTGCACGGATTAAAATCGTTAACCGGGGGTCCACTGTATATGGAGAGTAAAAGAAAGGTAAAGAGAGTAGTGACAGAGTGCAAAAGGAGAGCAGATGATAGAGTGGGAGAGGCACTGTCAAGAAATTTTAATGAAAATAAGAAAAAAATTTGGAGTAAGTTAAACAAGTTAAGAAAGTCTAGGAAAAGTATGGATTTCTCAGTTAAAAACAGAGTAGGGGAGTTAGTAGATGGGGAGATGGAGGTATTAGGTAGATGGCGAGAATATTTTGAGGAACTTTTAAATGTTAAGGAAGAAACAGAGGCAGTAATTTCATGCACTGGTCAGGGAGGTATACCATCTTTTAGGAGTAAAGAAGAGCAGAATGTAAGTGTGGGGGAGGTACGCGAGGCATTACGTAGAATGAAAGGGGGTAAAGCAGCTGGAACTGATGGGATCATGACAGAAATGTTAAAAGCAGAGGGGGATATAGTGTTGGAGTGGCTGGTACTTTTGTTTAATAAATGTATGAAAGAGGGGAAGGTACCTAGGGATTGGCAGAGAGCATGTATAGTCCCTTTATATAAAGGGAAAGGGGACAAAAGAGACTGTAAAAATTATAGAGGAATAAGTTTACTGAGTATACCAGGAAAAGTGTATGGTAGGGTTATAATTGAAAGAATTAGAGGTAAGACAGAATGTAGGATTGAGGATGAGCAAGGAGGTTTCAGAGTGGGTAGGGGATGTGTAGATCAAGTGTTTACATTGAAGCATATATGTGAACAGTATTTAGATAAAGGTAGGGAAGTTTTTATTGCATTTATGGATTTAGAAAAGGCATATGATAGAGTGGATAGAGGAGCAATCTGGCAGATGTTGCAATATATGGAATAGGTGGTAAGTTATTAAATGCTGTAAAGAGTTTTTATGAGGATAGTGAGGCTCAGGTTAGGGTGTGTAGAAGAGAGGGAGACTCTTCCCGGAAAAAGTAGGTCTTAGACAGGGATGTGTAATGTCACCATGGTTGTTAAATATATTTATAGATGGGATTGTAAAGGAAGTAAATGCTAGGGTGTTCGGGAGAAGGGTGGGATTAAATTTTGGGGAATCAGTTTCAAAATGGGAATTGACACAGTTACTTTTTGCTGATGATACTGTGCTTATGGGAGATTCTAAAGAAAAATTGCAAAGGTTAGTGGATGAGTTTGGGAATGTGTGTAAAGGTAGAAAGTTGAAAGTGAATATAGAAAAGAGTAAGGTGATGAGGGTGTCAAATGATTTAGATAAAGAAAAATTGGATATCAAATTGGGGAGGAGGAGTATGGAAGAAGTGAATGTTTTCAGATACTTGGGAGTTGACGTGTCGGCGGATGGATTTATGAAGGATGAGGTTAATCATAGAACTGATGAGGGAAAAAAGGTGAGTGGTGCATTGAGGTATATGTGGAGTCAAAAAACGTTATCTATGGAGGCAAAGAAGGGAATGTATGAAAGTATAGTAGTACCAACACTCTTATATGGGTGGTAAATGCAGCAGCGAGGAGACGGTTGGAGGCAGTGGAGATGTCCTGTTTAAGGGCAATGTGTGGTGTAAATATTATGCAGAAAATTCGGAGTGTGGAAATTAGGAAAAGGTGTGTAGTTAATAAAAGTATTAGTCAGAGGGCAGAAGAGGGGTTGTTGAGGTGGTTTGGTCATTTAGAGAGAATGGATCAAAGTAGAATGACATAGAAAGCATATAAATCTATAGGGGAAGGAAGGTGGGGTAGAGGTCGTCCTCGAAAGGGTTGGAGAGAGGGGGTAAAGGAGGTTTTGTGGGCAAGGGGCTTGGACTTCCAGCAAGCGTGCATGAGCGTGTTGGATAGGAGTGAATGGAGACGAATGGTACTTGGGACCTGACGATCTGTTGGAGTGTGAGCAGGGTAATATTTAGTGAAGGGATTCAGGGAAACCGGTTATTTTCATATAGTCGGACTTGAGTCCTGGAAATGGGAAGTACAATGCCTGCACTTTAAAGGAGGGGTTTGGGATATTGGCAGTTTGGAGGGATATATTGTATATCTTTATACGTATATACTTCTAAACTGTTGTATTCTGAGCACCTCTGCAAAAGCAGTGATAATGTGTGAGTGTGGTGAAAGTGTTGAATGATGATGAAAGTATTTTCTTTTTGGGGATTTTCTTTCTTTTTTTTGGGTCAGCCTGCCTCGGTAGGTCACCCTGCCTCGGTGGGAGACGGCCGACTTGTTGGGGGAAAAAAAAAAAAAAAAAAAAAAAAACCATGTATGTGTAGTGTGACCTAATTGTAAGTAGAAGTAGCAAGACGTACCTGAAATCTTGCATGTTTTTGAGACAGAAAAATGGACACCAGCAATCCTACCATCATGTAAAACAATACAGGCTTTCGTTTTACACTCACTTGGCAGGACGGTAGTACCTCCCTGGGCGGTTGCTGTCTACCAACCTACTACCTAGAATATTTTTTTTTTTTGTTTTTTTATTATCACACTGGCCGACTCCCACCAAGGCAGGGTGGCCCAAAAAAGAAAAACTTTCACCATCATTCACTCCATCACTGTCTTGCCAGAAGGGTGCTTTACACTACAGTTTTTAAACTGCAACATTAAAACCCCTCCTTCAGAGTGCAGGCACTGTACTTCCCATCTCCAGGACTCAAGTCCGGCCTGCTGGTTTCCCTGAATCCCTTCATAAATGTTACTTTGCTCACACTCCAACAGCACGTCAAGTATTAAAAACCATTTGTCTCCATTCACTCCTATCAAACATGCTCACGCATGCCTGCTGGAAGTCCAAGCCCCTCGCACACAAAACCTCCTTTACCCCCTCCCTCCAACCTTTCCTAGGCCGACCCCTACCCCGCCTTCCTTCCACTACAAACTGATACACTCTTGAAGTCATTCTGTTTCGCTCCATTCTCTCTGCATGTCCGAACCACCTCAACAACCCTTCCTCAGCCCTCTGGACAACAGTTTTGGTAATCCCGCACCCCCTCCTAACTTCCAAACTACGAATTCTCTGCATTATATTCACACCACACATTGCCCTCAGACATGACATCTCCACTGCCTCCAGCCTTCTCCTCGCTGCAACATTCATCACCCACGCTTCACACCCATATAAGAGCATTGGTAAAACTATACTCTCATACATTCCCCTCTTTGCCTCCAAGGACAAAGTTCTTTGTCTCCACAGACTCCTAAGTGCACCACTCACTCTTTTTCCTCATCAATTCTATGATTCACCTCATCTTTCATAGACCCATCCGCTGACACGTCCACTCCCAAATATCTGAATACGCTCACCTCCTCCATACTCTCTCCCTCCAATCTGATATCCAATCTTTCATCACCTAATCTTTTTGTTATCCTCATAACCTTACTCTTTCCTGTATTCACCTTTAATTTTCTTCTTTTGCACACCCTACCAAATTCATCCACCAATCTCTGCAACTTCTCTTCAGAATCTCCCAAGAGCACAGTGTCATCAGCAAAGAGCAGCTGTGACAACTCCCACTTTGTGTGTGATTCTTTATCTTTTAACTCCACGCCTCTTGCCAAGACCCTCGCATTTACTTCTCTTACAACCCCATCTATAAATATATTAAACAACCACAGTGACATCACACATCCTTGTCTAAGGCCTACTTTTACTGGGAAAAAATTTCTCTCTTTCCTACATACTCTAACCTAGAATAATAAAAATCATAATGATTTATTTTCCAATGAGATAACTCTGACAGAGAGATTTCTTAATGGAAAAGTCCATATTTCCTTGAACTAGTCTCACATTATACAGAAGCAAGATTAAATGGATTTACATTACGAAAATTTCGATGTACTGCCTCTCCTCACTCTGGCTGCCGAGCACTCAACAACAAGTACTTTTAAGTTTGTTTTCTATACAACTTCACCCATTTTCTTGACCTGTACTTTATTAGCCTGTGTATTTCCCATCCAAATACAATGACAGTCACGAAATATTAAGTACATATCTAAAATAACATATAAAAATAAGATTTAAATGCAGAAGAAAATACTGATACACTATATAGTATTGGTACAGAAAAAAAGTGAAGAACTGTAAAAACGCCAATACAGTGGACCGTAGTGAATTCGCGGCTTCAGTAATTCGCGGATTTTTTCCTTAGAACCGTTCAAATTAATAAATAAATAAAAAAAAAACTAGCTAATAATTGTTTGCCGAAATCCCTGCAAATTCCTGGAATTTTTGGGGGCTTTTCTCGTGGCAATATATAATTTTTTATGAGTTTTAACGCTATATATTAAAAAAATAATAATTTTGTATCATAAATATTAAAGTAAATTCAGCAAAATTTCCATATAAAATATAATACTTTTACTAAATTATTACTGCATAGTTACCATACACATACCAAAGAAAATGGGATTGCATGAATTACAGTATACCAACGAAAACAGGCTTGTATGAATTACAGAGCATATGGGGGTAACATTGGTATTTTACATTCTAGCACTGTGGGAGACAGAGCAGTACAGTACTGTATACAGGTTTATTTTTTCATTCTTTTTTTTTTTAAGGGTGATGTATGAAGCTGAGTTTGAAATTAAATTAAAGTGTTTTGGGGGCATATTTAGGGTTTAAACTATAAAAATAGGCATTTATAGGCATTTTTTTAACCGCGTCCAGAATTCGCATTTTTTCCAAATTTGCAGGTGGTCTTGGAATGTAACCCATGCGAATTTGGGGGGACTACTGTACTGCTTATTTGAGATAGAAAAACAAAGAGAATTCTGTACAATATAATAAGTCTGATAATAAAATTACTCACCTGCAGTGGAAGTAAGTGTCAACACTATCATTGGAGACTCGTAAAATCAGCCAAAACACTGGTAAGAAAGGCCGGACTGACTCAAAGTCTTGCAGCCAATCACAGCAATCGTTATCTGAGTCACTGATGTCCCCCTCACAGCCATCCTCTGTCGTCTGACCAGACTCCAACAAACTTGACACATCAGAATATGGACCACCAGGAACAGATCCAGTGCCCGAGTTATGACGACTTTTCAGAATGTCTCCTCCAGTTCCTGTCATATAAATTAGAAAGTAAAATATTATCTTGAAGCACTATTTCTAACATTAGTCTGATGAACATTTACCTGAAACTTTTTTAAGAATGGGATAAACATGCCAAGGAATTCTCTGACACAGTAGTAATTTTTAATGCACCAGCTGTCTCCCACCAAGGAAGGATAATATAAAAAAAAAAGAAACATTTTCACAATCGTTTATTCAGTCACTGTCTTCCCAGAAGAATGCTGACATCATGGTTCAGACAAGTCTCTGTACTGCAACATCCCCCGGAAGAATGCTGACATCACGGTTCAGACAAGTCTCTGTACTGCAACATCCCCATCCTCTTTCAGAGTGCAAGCACCACACCTCCCACCTCCTTATCACAATTAAAAAGTATATTTTATGATGATGCAACATACAGTATCACAAGTATATTTTATGATGATGCAACATACAGTATCACAAGTATATTTTATGATGAAGCGACATACAGTATCACAAGCATATTTTATGATGATGCAACATACAGTATCACAAGTGTATTTTACGATAATGCAACATACAGTATCACAAGTATATTTTATGATGATAAAATGTATTACATCTGCTGTTATTAGAATAATTAAATATATTATCCTTGAATACTAACCTGAATTATGTCTGCTTTTTAACAGATCAGCATTTGTTCCAGAGTTGTTACGGCTCTTCATGAGTTCTGATGAATTGTGACGACTCTTTATAAATTCTGCCCACAAGCCACAACTACAATAAAAGACAAACATTTTCTATTACACTAAGCAAAACAAAAGATACAGTAAAAGACGTGAAAATGTGGCAAGTATGCCAACTGCCAGAACAGAGAATGATACGACTAATAGTTCAATAAGTGTTCATCATTAAAGTGTGCTGGCCCCACTCTAAACCACAACCACAAACAAGGGTCATTCCATGTTCTTTAGGACATCCTTCAGTCATCTAGGAAGTGATTAACACACATGGCAACATATAAACTAAATAATGTAGATCTTAATACTACTGATTGTGAAAAGGATTTAGGAGTTCTGGTTAGCAGTAATCTAAAACCAAGACTACAGTGCATTAATGTTCGCAATAAAGCTAACAGAATTCTTGGCTTCATATCTAGAAGTATAAATAATAGAAATCCTCAGATTGTTCTTCAACTCTATATATACTTGGTTAAGCCTCATTTAGACTATGCTGCTCAGTTCTGGTCACCGTATTACAGAATGGATATAAATGCTCTGGAAAACATACAGAGGAGGATGACAAAGATGATCCCATGTATCAGAAATCTTCCCTATGAGGAAAGGCGTAAAATTCTGGGGGATATGATCGAGGTGTATAAATGGAAAACAGGAATAAATAAAGGGGATGTAAATACCGTGCTGAAAATTTCCAGCCAAGACAGGACTCGCAGCAATGGTTTCAAGTTGGAAAAATTCAGATTGAGGAAGGATATAGGAAAGCACTGGTTTGGTAATAGAGTTGTGGATGAGTGGAACAAACTCCCGAGTACAGTTATTGAGGCTAAAATGTTGTGTAGTTTTAAAAATAGGTTAGATAAATACATGAGTGGGTGTGGGTGGGTGCAAGTTGGACCTGACTAGCTTGTGCTGCTGGGTCTGGTGCCGTGCTCCTTCCTTGAGTGGAAGTGACCAGACTGGGTGGGTCATTGGGCTAATCCGGTGAGGGGGGGACATAGACCTGCTCCGCATGGGTCAGTAGGCCTGTTGCAGTGTTCCTTCTTTCTTATGTTCTTATGTTCATTCTTCAGGGTTTCATGGGATAAATACTCCCATAGCTGCTCATAGATGGCATCCTAAAGCCATGGGAATGGGATGATATCCTTTCCCTTGTAGATTTCTCTCTATCACAGTGCAGAAGTTCTCAATGGGGTTCAAGTCTGGAGGAACATCCTGACCCATCATCGAAGATGAGTCTCTCACATTTACAAAGCAAATGAACAACATATTTCACAATGTGGCAAGGAACACTGTTTTCCATAAAAACTTTATGCCACACTGTATAAAAGATTCAGGAAAATGATAACAGAGCAATTCAAAGGACATAATTACAGTTAATGTTAGTTTATTGAAGCTTCCTACTTTTGATTTACCTTTGATGAGTTCTGAGAGTTTTTCTACTCATGGAGCCCGGCCATGGGCCAGGCTTGTCTGGTGCTTGACTGATTAACCAGGCTGTTGCTTTGCGTCTATGAATTATTCCACTTATAACATTCTTCTTCTTCTTTCAACGTACCAGCCATATCCCACCGAGGCAGAGTGGCCCAAAAGGAAAACCGAAAGTTTCTCCTTTCAAATTCAGTAATACACTGTATATACAGGAGAAGGGGTTACTAGCCCCTTGCTCCCGGCATTTTAGTAGCCTCTTACAACATGCATGGCTTACAGAGGAAGAATTCTGTTCCACTTCCCCATGGAGAACTTATAACATTACCTCAATAAAATAAGTTAATTCTTTAATGCTACCATACCTCACATTAAATTGTATCCTTTAACATTTTAATAAAGAATGTTTACCAACAACTTACCTCCCACTTGGGTTCACAGCAGAGGTATGTGAAGTTTTCAGATGTTCAACAGAGGCTTCAGTATTACATGGTGCAAAGTTGTCAGTACTTGCTGATTTTCTCATCACTTCAGCAGGCACCGGAGGACGAGGCAGACTTTCCGAGCCACATCTGAAATTATTACATACATGCACGTAAATTTTACTTTACTGAACCCAACTGTAACTGTTTATATGAATTTGTTGGGAATGACTTCCAGCCCACCCTTCCTCCCAGAAATACTTAGTAATAATACTACTACAATTAAGAATTTTTGGAACTTTTATCTTTGTTCTAATTCATATACAACTGTTTTTGAGTGGAGTCCTGGGATACTGGAGTGACAGCTCATGGAAATATACAGAATACAGGAGGGCCTCATTTGTATGACTCACCAGCAGGTGGAAAAGAGCATTTTTTCATCATCAAGTGCATCTAAAATGCCTGAAAACATATTTACACTACCATATATTAAGTGCTCAACAAAGCTAGGCATAGACAACAGGCAAAACTGTAACAAAAATATACAGTACATACAGTGATCTGTCAGACACTGCAACATCATGGGATCTTGGAACAAAGACTTCAACGCTTGTCCAACCTTTGGACGACGACCTACTTACACTAGTGGCAGGTCCCACTGTGATCCCACCTCCTCCTGCTTTGACTCACCAGACTGCAGTATATAAGCCACCTCTCTGGCCCTATGCTGTACTTCCTACAAGCGTGATAGACTGAACACATTGATTCCAGGTTAAGGGACTGATTACCTCAAACTCCTCTCCTTACCCCTTTTCTACTTTGTATTGGACTGATGAAGCCACTGTGTGGCAAAGCGTTTCTTCAATAAGATTCCCATGTGTTGCATAAGCGTCTCAATTCTTCAACTTGTCGGTTTTCAAAACCATTCATCACAGCACTAAATTTACATAAATGTGATTTTGCTCAATCTGACACTTACTTTAAACCTATTTCAATGTTCAACCCAACCAATTCCTAGCTATTTTGCTAGTATGCCTTCTGTTCTATCGACTGTGCATAAGAAACAGCCCAATCAACTATCAGAACTACACTATAAAGCATCCAAACCTGCATAACCTGGACAAATTTAAAGTACAGCAAAGTCCAATTAGAAATAGTCCAAAATAAACACTGTAAGCATTGTAACCATTAAAGCCTTCTGTCTTCTGTTCATTAACCTGTCTCTCCTACATAACACTTGTCCTCTATTGTGAATCCATCACACTTAAAAAATAATCGAAATTTTAACCTATTTTTGGGTTAATAAAATACAACCAAGAATAACTGGTCATAGTTAAGGCTATCTCAACAATGAAGCAGACCGAATAACAAAATAGACAGGAGTGAGTAGGGAGGGCTCTTTTTTTTACCCTTCCTCACTAAAATCACCAAAAGTCAAATATATCTGCTACTTTGAGGCCTATTTTAACTAATCAAAATCATCTCCAATTCACTAGCATGTCTTCTGCTCGATCAACTGACACCAAGAATGAGACACTAAGGCCATGGAAGCCACCCTAGAACATGCCTTAAAGTCACTCAATCATGTCTGCTGGTCAAAAGGTATGAGATGGGATTAACCATGAGCTCAAGAGTTCACACCTTGCAAACTTAACTAGATGCTTACAAATAGGTAAATACACATAAAATATCAAATACAGTGGACCCCCAGTTTACGATCAGCTCCCAATGTAACCAATTATGTAAGTGTATTTATGTAAGTGCATTTGTACGTGTATGTTTGGGGGTCTGAAATGGACTAATCTAATTCACAATATTCCTTATGGGAACAAATTCGTTCGGTACTGGCACCTGAACATACTTCTGGAATGAAATAATATCGTAAACCGGGGGTCCACTGTATCCTTTTCCTTCCAACACATTGGCCGTCTCCCAGTGAGGCAGGGTGACCCAAAAAAGAAAAACACTGTCACCATCATTCACATAAAATCACTGTCTTTGCAGAGGCACTCAGATACGATAGGTCAGATGTCACTCCAAACAACCAATATCAAATATCTGTATAGTAAAAGTCCATGATTTGAGCAGGTTACATTCCTGTAATCAACACTACCAGTGACTTTCGCAACTTAGTGATTAACATATGGGGAGGAAAGGATTGCATTCTTCACATCTCCAAAACACTCAAACAAGTCTTGTTTCATATTCTTAATTCTTTAAAAATCATAGTTTTTCTTACCATATGTATGGAGAGGGTTCATGTGGCATGCAGTGTTCTATTAGCTATAACTACATTCACCTACCACCATCACTAACCACCATCACCTATCATTTCTAAGGCTTGGGGGAAGCCAGCTGCCAACTCATTATGAGTGTGTATTCCTTTCATAACATTAATGGAATACAATACCAACAAGCTGATACATCAGACACATGCACAGCACCTGTATCTTTATTTTGAAAGCCTTTTGCCAACCAAGAAGGATGGAGGCAGTGGAGATGTCATGGTTGAGGGCAATGTGTAGTGTGAATATTATGCAGAGAATCTGTAACTTGGAGATTATGTGTGGGGGTTTTAAAAAGTATTATCCAGATGGCTGAAGAAGGGTTGTTGAGGTGGTTCAGACATTTAGAGAAGATGGAACAAAATAGAATGACTTGGAGGGTGTATGAATCTGTAATGGAAGGAAGGTGAGGATAGATGGCATTCCTAGAAAGGTTGGAGGGAGGGGTAAAGGAAGCTTTGTGTGTAAGGGGCTTGGACTTCCAGCAAATGTGTGTAAGCATGTTAGAAAGGAGCAAGTGGAGGCAAATGGTTTTTATGAATTGATGTGCTGATGGAGTGTGAGCAAAGCAACATTTATGAAGGGATACAGGGAAACTGGTTAGCCGAACCTGAGTTCTGGAGGTGGGAAGTACAAGTGCCTGCACTCTGAAGGAGGGGTGAAAATATGTTGCAATTTTTGAACTTCAGTACTGGCACACCTCAGGCAAGACAGTGATGGAATGAGGTGATGACAAAAGTCTTTCTTCTTTTTTTGGGTCACACTATCTCAGTGGGAAATGGCTGACGTGTTAATAAAATAATATTTGTCAACCAGTGGCTTTTTTCAGTTCAATACAGAGCTGATTAACTGGAAACAGTGTATTCCTTCCACAAAATGTGGAAAAAAAAAAAACCCAACCTAGCAAGAGTATACACAACCCTCAAAACCACCAGCACCCAAGAGATTGTAACTTCACTAATATCCAGTCTGAAATGGGCTAAAAATGACAAGAGGTTTATTTACTTTCAATTCCTTGTTGCTACAGAAACAACAAGGTACAAAGCCAAGTGCCTGTGGACTCTTGACCTGTGGCTGCCTGACACTTGCCACTGGATAGTAGCTTTCTCATTTAGCAACTTTTTCACATTTTATTTTCAGTCACCAGCATATTCAACAATTTTTTTTTTTCAACAAGTCGGCCGTATCCCACCGAGGCAGGGTGACCCACCGAGGCAGGGTGACCCACCGAGGCAGGGTGACCCACCGAGGCAGGGTGACCCACCGAGGCAGGGTGACCCACCGAGGCAGGGTGACCCACCGAGGCAGGGTGACCCACCGAGGCAGGGTGACCCACCGAGGCAGGGTGACCCAAAAAGAAAGAAAATCCCTAAAAAGAAAATACTTTCATCATCATTCAACACTTTCACCTCACTCACACATAATCACTGTTTTTGCACAGGTGCCCAGAACACAACAGTTTAGAAGCATATACGTACGTATAAAGATACATAACATATCCCTCCAAACTGCTAATATCCCGAACCCCTCCTTTAGAGTGCAGGCATTGTACTGCCCATTTCCAGGACTCAAGTCCGGCTATATAAAAATAACCGGTTTCCCTGAATCCCTTCACTATATATTACCCTGCTCACACTCCAACAGATTGTCAGGTCCCAAATACCATTCATCTCCATTCACTCCTATCGAACATGTTCATGCACGCCTGCTGGAAGTCCAAGCCCCTCGCCCATAAAACCTCCCTTACCCCTTCCTTCCAACCTTTTTGAGGATGACCCCTACCCCGCCTTCCTTCTCCTACAGATTTAAATGCTCTCCATGTCATTCTACTTTGATCCATTCTCTCTAAATGTTCAAACCACCTCAACAACCCCTCTTCAGCCCTCTGACTAATATTTTTATTAACTTCACACCTTCTCCTAATTTCCACACTCCGAATTTTCTGCTTTAATATTTACACCACACATTGCCCTTAGACAGGACATCTCCCCTGCCCCCAAAACCGCCTCCTCGCTGCTGCATTCCAACCCAAGCTTCACACCCCACATAAGAGTGTTGGTACTACTATACTTTCATACATTCCCTTCTTTGCCTCCACAGATAACGTTTTTTAAACTCCACATATACCTCAATGCACCACTAAACCTTTTTTCCCTCATAAATTTTATGTTTAAACCCTCATCCTTCATAAATCCATCTGCCAAACACGTCAACTCCCAAGTATCTGAAAACATTCACTTTTTCCATACTTCTACTTCCCAATTTGATATCCAATTTTTTCTTTATCTAATCATTTGATCCCCTCATCACCTTACTCTTTTCTATGTTCACTTTCAACTTTCTCCCTTTACACACATTCCCCAAACTCATCCACTAACCTTTGCAATTTTTCTTTAAAATCTCTCATAAGCACAGTATCATCAGCAATAAGTAACTGTGCCAATTCCTTTTGTATTTGTTTCCCCCATAATTTAATCCCACCCCTCTCCTAAAACACCCTAGCTTTTTACTTCTTTTACAACCCCATCTAAAAATATACTTAACAACCATGGTGACATTACACATCCCTGTCTAAGACCTACTTTTACCGGGAAGTAGTCCCCTCTTTCTACACACCCTAACCTGAGCCTCCTATCCTCATAAAACTTTTTTACAGCATTTACTAACTTACCACCTATTCCTTTATACTACTTGCAACATCTGCCACATTGCCCCCCCTATCCACTCTATCCATGTTTTTAAATCCAAAAATGCAATAAAAACTTCCCTACCTTTATCTAAATACTGTTCACATATATGCTTCAATGTAAACACTTGATCTACACATCCCCTACCCACTCTGAAACCTCCTTGCTCATCCGTAAT